CCAGTGAGGTGTTTGCCTACTGTCATGAAGACTTCAAGCACCATGACACAGGTCACACCGGCCATGTGTCCTGAAGATTAGAGTTCACCAGAGGGCAAATTTACTTCCGAATGGTGTCCACAGAGGATGTTGCCATTTTATTTAGTATTACATGTGTTTTCAAGACCATAAGTGCACCAGGATGAGTTTTAGTTTAGTGTTCTTTACTTTGTTTCTTCATCAGAACAGATTTGGAGAAATTTAGCATTACATCACTTGCTCACCAATGGATCCTCTGCAGTGAATGGGTGCCGTCAGAATGAGAGTTCAAACATCACAATAATCCACAAGTAATCCAGACCACTCCAGTCCATCAGTTCATGTCTTGTGAAGCAAAGATCTGCATGTTTGCAAGAAGCAAATGCATCATTAAAATATTTTTAACTTTAAACAGTTGTTAAAATATGAGTCCTCTATCTATAATATTGCTTCCTCCAATGAAAAAGTAATCTTGTCTGAATAAGGAGAGAATTATGCACAGATCAAGTGTTTATAAGTGTAAAAGTGAAACAATAATAAAAAAAGCACTAAACAAATGTTTTTTATCAGCTGTTTGAACACTCATTCTGACGGCACCCATTCACTGCAGAGGATCCATTGGTGAGCAAGTGATGTAATACTAAATTTCACCAGATCTGTTCGGATGAAGAAACAAACTCATCTATATGCTGGATGGCCTGAGTAAATTTTCAGCAAATTTTAATTTTTGGGTAAACTATTCTTTTAACTTACACATATCTTATTCATCAGGGGGTGAAAACATAATCTTCATTGTCCAAAAATCTGAGACCATTGGTAAAAATGTTTCTACTTTGCATTTTGTATTTTGCAATTTAAATATATTTGATTACGCATTGTGTACTCAGCATTATAATTTTAGTACAAAGTTTAATTAAAAAATGAAATTTAATTTCAAATTTTATTACATCATCCTTTTGCATTCCTGAACTGCATGAAATAAATAAATAATTGACCTTTTCAGATATACTTATTTCATTAGTGGCACTGAAAAAAAAGGCAAAATCGTAGATATTTTGTTTTCTTGTTTTCAAAATTGTTCAAATCTTCAAAAAAAAAAGCTTATTTCCAGGTTTAAAAAAAAAACATTGGGTTTCACTTTGGACCCTGAATATGGTCAATGATATAAAAAAACAGAGCTTTCTCATGTATCTTTGTATTCTTCGTGTATTCTATCAGATGTTAACTCTGGCACAAGCCTCTCTTTTCACTTCACCCTTCACACCACATTAAACAATGTTCGTGAAACGTTGGATCACCTGCTGCTGTCTAGTCAACAAGGCAATAAACACGTTTTCCCTAAACAGGAACTGTGCTTCCAATCATTCCACCAGATCCGTAGGTGCTACGCCACAAAAATGTCCCGCTGAAGATGAGGAGGAGAACGCCAGGTGTTCGTGAAGGCCTCCTGATGGCTCATTGCAAAGATGCTGCGGTCGATTATGACCTTTTAAACTGGATTCCTACACTTTATGGGGCATCTTGCTGAGTAAGAGTGCAGTTTATGGCCTCATTCACCCACACGATTAGTGATCACTTTCTCACGTGTGAAGTTACAGGTCCGTTAGAGCATATGAGACTGTAGTCTCTGTAGTTTTGATTGAATGGACAGTTATATTTATATCTATATATGCAACTGTTCAAAGGTTTGTGGTCAGTAAGATTTATTTTTGTGCAAGAAATTAATACGTTCCAACAAAGATGAATTAAATTGATCAAAAGTGACAGTAAAGCCATTTATAAGGTTACAAAGATTTCTATTTCCAGCATGCTGTTCTTTTGAACTTTCTGTTCAGCAGATAATCCTGAAAAAAAGTGTCACAGCTTCCACAAAATATTAAGCAGCATAACTGTTTTCAGCATTGATAATAATTAGAAATGTTTCTTGAGTAGCAAATCAGCATATTAGAATGATTTCTGAAGGCTCATGAGTAATGACACTGAAAATTCAATTTTAACATCACAGGAATAAATTGCATTTTAAAATATATTAAAAATGAAAACAGCTATTTTAAATTCCAATATAATTTCACAATATTACAGTTTTTACTGTATTTTTGATCAAATAAATTCAGCCTTGATGAGCAGAAGAGACAGCTTTCGAAAACATTAAAAAATCTTACCAATCCCAAACCTCTGAATGGTAATATACTATTTAATTATATTTTACTTTTAATGTGCATCAACCAAAACTGCACATTTAATTTTTTTTTAAATACCCAAAGGCCATTTAGAAAATAATTGTGCAGTTCTCCAGACAGCTTATAGTTTTGGTTGTATAACAAATATTAATGACTACAGGATGTTTTTTCGTCTTAAACACTTGTTTTACCCACTAGAAGACAGACATCTGACAACATGTTTACACATTGTGAACTGGAAAAGCGTTAGACAAAAGCATTTCCACACGATTAGGAGTTGAGGAATGTTGTTGTGTATAATTGAGGGTCATAAGGTGCCTATTTCTCACTGTCTTTCTTTGTTTTCCACAGATGCCACTCCTTGATGGTTATGGGCTCACTCCCATAAGCCCAGCAGGAGCTGGGACAGGGACGCGGCCCATGTTTTGATGTGGTTTGGACATAGACAGTTTGCATGGGCTCCTGAATGGTCCGTTAGAGCATATGAGACTGTAGTCTCTGTAGTTTTGATTGAATGGACAGTTATATTTATATCTATATATGCAACTGTTCAAAGGTTTGTGGTCAGTAAGATTTATTTTTGTGCAAGAAATTAATACGTTCCAACAAAGATGAATTAAATTGATCAAAAGTGACAGTAAAGCCATTTATAAGGTTACAAAGATTTCTATTTCCAGCATGCTGTTCTTTTGAACTTTCTGTTCAGCAGATAATCCTGAAAAAAAGTGTCACAGCTTCCACAAAATATTAAGCAGCATAACTGTTTTCAGCATTGATAATAATTAGAAATGTTTCTTGAGTAGCAAATCAGCATATTAGAATGATTTCTGAAGGCTCATGAGTAATGACACTGAAAATTCAATTTTAACATCACAGGAATAAATTGCATTTTAAAATATATTAAAAATGAAAACAGCTATTTTAAATTCCAATATAATTTCACAATATTACAGTTTTTACTGTATTTTTGATCAAATAAATTCAGCCTTGATGAGCAGAAGAGACAGCTTTCGAAAACATTAAAAAATCTTACCAATCCCAAACCTCTGAATGGTAATATACTATTTAATTATATTTTACTTTTAATGTGCATCAACCAAAACTGCACATTTAATTTTTTTTTAAATACCCAAAGGCCATTTAGAAAATAATTGTGCAGTTCTCCAGACAGCTTATAGTTTTGGTTGTATAACAAATATTAATGACTACAGGATGTTTTTTCGTCTTAAACACTTGTTTTACCCACTAGAAGACAGACATCTGACAACATGTTTACACATTGTGAACTGGAAAAGCGTTAGACAAAAGCATTTCCACACGATTAGGAGTTGAGGAATGTTGTTGTGTATAATTGAGGGTCATAAGGTGCCTATTTCTCACTGTCTTTCTTTGTTTTCCACAGATGCCACTCCTTGATGGTTATGGGCTCACTCCCATAAGCCCAGCAGGAGCTGGGACAGGGACGCGGCCCATGTTTTGATGTGGTTTGGACATAGACAGTTTGCATGGGCTCCTGAATACCGGAGATAATTTCCCTAGCCATTTGCTCTCAGTTCTCTCAGCAGTTGTTTGCATCCCAATCATCCCGTGCAACCATGAGGAATTCAAACCTCAGGTGCTTTTAAAAATTCTTTCCCTCCACAGCGCTCCGAATGAAATTTGGGTGCATATCCATTGTAAAAGGCCTCTGAATGAGTAAAAACCAACAATTTTTTGGTTTGAAATTTGAGCCTAGAAGACATATAGTCATGATCCAAGGTAATGAATTTAAAATGTTTGCTTTATAGCCCTATAAATGGTTTGTAGCTTAGTGGCTATATTCTTCTTTCTGATGAATTTAACATTAGGTACTTGATGTTACACCCATAAAAAAAAACAGAATGGATCAAGTCAGAGACCTTGAACTAGAGGTTATGCAGACCAAAAGCAGTTTATTGCTCCTATTCTTATACAAGCATTTATGGTACTTTGAGTGAGTCTGAGTTATGGCTGTCAGTAACGAGCATATCACATGCAAATATTATCACGCACACCCTACAGTTCAAAAGATTTTTTAATGTTTTAAAAGAAGTTTCTTAAAGCTGCATTTAAAAACTGGAATACTGTGAAATATTACAATTTAAAATGAACTGTTTTCTATTTTAAAATGCAATTTTTACCCCTGTAATGCAATGTTGAATTTTCAGCAGCCATTACTTTTCTTGTGATTTGAATAGGCCTCCCTAACAAGTATGAAAAATAGCAAGGATATTACATCTTTATTCCCAACTAAAACATGCTCTAGAACCTTCTTTGAGAATAGTGGGAGGCTGCTTTCTGAATCGGATGCATCCATATGCACGTGTTACCAATAAAGGCTTCTTTGTCATGAGGGAAAGTGGGAAAGGAAGAGAAAGTGATCGAGCGAGTGAGTGAGTGAATGAATGAGAGAGAGAATGCAAGAAACAGCAGTGCAAACACTGCCTGCATGCCATTAATAATGAGAAACACAAACAGTAGATGATATAACTGTAATACAGAGTCACATCCCCCCTGCACAGAGGGCAGATGAACAAACAGGAGGTGTCACAGAAACATCCTGAAGATATATGACTCTGAATTCCCCATGTATCTATCCTCAGACCTGCTCTGTGCTCTCTCTCTCTCTCTCACACACACACACGTTTACTAAGAAAACCAAATGGGGACACACAATAAACTGTTTCGATGTAAAACCAATTGTAATTACTATGGCTAATGATAACTTAGAGTCATTACTAATTTAAATTAATTGTGAAAATGAAAGATGCACATGTACTGTGATTTTTATAAACAAAGCATTTATTTAAAAGACAATAGGGACGGAGTACATTTGAAACCATTTATGAGCAGCACATTAGTGCTTTGATTTGAGCCAAAGCCTGATGAGCAAACCTAAGCTCCGATTGGCTGAATCTGTTTGGAAAGTGAACAGTACTCAGTCTTGGTGTTTTGCGCGCTTGGTCTCTGGTGCATCGTTAAGCTTGGAGAAGTGTTCCGACAAGGCTGCCAGGGCACGGTACCGATGGGAGATGCTGTTCTTCACTTCTTTAGGGAGCTCAGCATAACTGCCCACAGAAACACAGCACAGAGGAATGAGAAAAACAAAATCACTATCAAAATAAAAAGGGCTTTAAGTGCTAATTTTATCTGACAAATTAATTTGGCATTCATTTTAAACTATTGTTGACAGAAATGTGTTTTCTTGTCAATGTTTCATTCTCCGAGGAGGAGTACAACACTTTTTTATAAAGCATTTAACAACATGTATTCTTATAATGTGATAACATGGACTGTAGGAAAAGTCTTTCATAAATATTTGTAGATTTGGTTAAATCAAAGTCAAGTCTTTTCAGAGGATTTACTTTGACCAATACTGTCACCTGCTGGTGAACCTGAGAAACACAACTGCAAAGTTATGAGAAGATACTCACGTATTTTCATAGCCGTCAGGTTGAAAACAAGGATCCCACCCAAAATCCCTTGGGCCCCTGGGCTCAACAATACGGCCCTGAAAAAAATTATTAGAAATGTTGGCGGTAGGAATCAAAACCTGCATGCTATAGTGTTCAACGCATTATTACAGCTATAGTGTGTTCTTCATTATTAACTGCTACTGTTCCTCCATCATTAAAAAGGGCCTCTATCACTCTCCAATTCTTTAAAAAACTGGCGCTGATCCTAATGATTTAAATAATTACAGGCCTATTTCTAATCTCCCTTTTAAAATTTAAAAATACTTGAAAGGACAGTAGCAGCTCAACTTGAACCACATCTGCAAAGTAATGACATTTATGAACATTTCCAGTAAGGCTTTTGACCCAAACATATTACAGAAACAGCTCTTGTCACGGTTATAAATGATCTTCTCCTAGCTGCTGATTCTGGTTTTCTGTCTATTCTTATTCTTCTAGATATAAGTGCTGCCTTTGATACTATTAGTCATTCAGTACTATTGGAGTGGCTGGCTTGCATTGGAATAGCTGATAATGCGCTTCTTTGGTTCTCATCTTATTTAAGTGTCAGAAAACAGTTTATGCAGATTAAGAATACACATTCAAATCCTGTCTCAGTTAATCATGGTGTTCCACAAGGGTCGGTGCTGGGCCCGCTTTTATTTATCATTTATATTCTACCTCTTGGTCGTATTTTCAGATTTCAGACATTTTTGCAGATTTATTAAAAAAGAAAAACTGAAATATCAGATGGTCCTAAGTATTCAGACCCTTTGCTCAGTATTTAGTAGAAGCACCCTTTTGATCTAATACAGCCATGAGTCTTTTTGGGAAAGATGCAACAAGTTTTTCACACCTGGATTTGGGGATCCTCTGCCATTCCTCCTTGCAGATCCTCTCCAGTTCTGTCAGGTTAGATGGTAAACGTTGGTGGACAGCCTTTGGTTCTCATCTTATTTAAGTGTCAGAAAACAGTTTATGCAGATTAAGAATACACATTCAAATCCTGTCTCAGTTAATCATGGTGTTCCACAAGGGTCGGTGCTGGGCCCGCTTTTATTTATCATTTATATTCTACCTCTTGGTCGTATTTTACGTTCTTATGGTATTAATTTCCATTTTTACGCTGACGACACACAAGTATATATCCCTACAAGACCTAATGTTTCTCATCCCCCTCCTGACCTCACTAAATGTTTGCAGGACGTTAATATCTGGATGACTAATAATTTTTTTTTTTAAGTTAAATGCCAATAAAACTGAAGCCCTCCTTGTGGTTCTAGGTCTGTTTTATCTAAAACTCAATACTTTACCTTGGTTATTGATAATTGCCCAGTCAATTTTTCTACCCAGGTGAAAAGTCTTGGGGTTATACTGGATGGTTTGCTTTCGTTTAGTCCTCATATTAGTAATATTTCACATTCTGTATTTTTTTATCTACACAACATTGCCAGACTTCGTTCTTCACTTTCCCAACATAGTACTGAAGTGCTTATCCATGCATTGGTTACATCTCGGATTGATTATTGTAATTCTCTTTTATTTGGAATTTCTGAAAAACAACTTAATCGATTACAGCTAATCCAGAATTCAGCAGCTAGGATAGTTACCCGCTCACGTACTTTTGATCATATATCTCCAATTCTTTTCCAGCTGCATCTTCTTCATTTGTATACTCCTTTGCGCTCTTTAAGATCATCTTCTGCAGACTTATTGTCTGTTCCAAAATTCAAAATGAGTTCCTTTGGTGGTAGGGCTTTTAGTTGTGCAGTGCCGAAGTTATGGAACTCTTTACCTTTGCACATTCACCAGCTAGATTGAGTTTCCCATTTTAAAGCTCAGATAAAAACTTATTTGTTTAGAATAGCTTTTAATGATCTGCTTATTTAATGTGTTGTTATAATGTCCGCTTTTTGTATGTTTTTTATTGCTTTGTTTTACATTGTCCGGTGTCCTTGAGTGTCCTGAAAGGCGCCTATAAATAAAAGGTATTATTATTATTATTATTATTAGTGTTCAACGTAACACATGTATATATATTACCTGTCAAAAGTTTGTGGACAGTAAGATTTTGTTGAAAGAAATAAATGCTTTTATTCAGTAAGGATGCATTAAATTGATCAAAATAGACATTAAATGTATTTATAGTGTTTTGATTTCGATTTCAAATAAATGCTGTTCTTTTGAATGTTCAATTCATTAAGAAATTCTGGAAAGAAATGTGTCACACAGTAGTTTCCACAAAAATATTAAGCAGCACAACTGTGATAACAATTGATAATAACAACATTGTGACAACACTGATAATCATAATAAATGTTTTTGAGCAGCAAATCAGCATATTAGAATGATTTCTGCCTCCGTTTGCAGTGCTTGAGTTGTGTCAGGGGGAGGATGGCGCTCCCACTAGACTTGTATCAGTACCGGAGCTGTTGTCCGCTGTGAAGGAGAGACAGGCCTACAATCTAATGCTGCATAAGCTCAGAGGGGGAACAGATGCTAGCAGCACACCATCCCTCACGCTGTGCCATGCAGCCACCGGCCGACCGCGATACACTCTGACAGTGCAGGATAGCCTGCCTTCTGCCAAGCTGCCACGGAGTAATCACTTT